CATTGCATACTTTATTCCCAAAAAGACATGGTCACTTTTACCCAAGGGAGGAAGGTACTGAATGTCAAATATCTCTTCCTCCTTCCTGGTAAATATCAAATCTAGCATGGAGGGAACGTCCCCTTCCCTCATCCTCGTAGCTTGTTTAACATGTTGATACAAGAATGTTTCCAGGATGAGGTCTACAAATTTACAGGTCCAAAAATCTTCTGTTTTAGCTTCATATGCTTCCCAGTCTATGGATTTCAAGTTGAAGTCACCGACTATCAACAGTCGTGATCTATCGTTATCCGCTCTCGCTATAATCTCTCTCATTATTGTTATAAGACCTTCACGTTTACTATCTAGCTCCTCCTTTGACCATGTGCTGCTTGGCGGTGGACTATATGCATTTATCATCATTAGTTTATCATCCTCATAGCAGATCTCTAGTGCTATTATGTCAACTTCTTGTGGATTGGCAGTCATTATTTCCTTCACCTTTAGGTGTTCTTTTACCAGCACAGCAACGCCACCGCCTTTCCTAATTTTTCTGTCCCGTCTCCAAATTGAGTAGCCCCTTGGGAATATGACCTCATTTAAAATTACATCTTCAAGTTTTGTCTCCGTGAGTGCAACAATGTCTGGTGTCTGCAGCTGTATTACATCACTTAACTCCAGTATCTTCGATCTCACTCCATCTATGTTGGTGTATGCAATCTTCAGGAACTTGTTCCCCCTCTCCTTATTCTTCACTCCCCCTCTCTCTATTGATTTTGTTGGTTTGCCTTTATGTACCCCTTTACTGGTTTGCCTACCCCTATCACTTTGTAGAAAAAAGAATTTATTTCTTCTTCATTCCTGCTCTCATTTAAATGTTTTGCCTCGGCGAGGTTCAGTTTCAGCTTCTCTCTATCTTCTTTTGAAAGATCTCGTCTTAACGACCACCCTTTCCCATCCTCATCCCTTTGCAATTTTCTAGCATTCCTTAGTACTTCTTCCATCTGTTTGGCACCGTTTAGGGTGATCCTCAAAGGTCGATCTTTCCCTTTTACGTACCTGCCTATTCTCCTGTAGTCGCACACATTCTCTCTGTTTGTAAGACCTTCCACGAGGCCAACAATTTTATCTACTACTTTAGCTTCTTCTACAGCTCTTTCTGACCTAGATGTTATCGCCTTTTCTTTGAAGCCAAAAATGATCAGGGACTTACTCCGATCAACTGTGTTTTGCACCAACTTCGGGTTAGATGCCAATTCTTTCCTCACTTCTAGCCTAATGTTTGTTTTATCTTGGTTGCTGCAGTGTTTGACTTCCTTTACTGCTTCTTCTATTTTTTCCTTCTCCTTGGCCACTTGTGCATAAGTGAGTTGCATATCTTTCTTGCACTGTTCTATTCCCTGTGTAACTTCCTCCATCTGTGCTGACAAAAGCTGTTTCTCCTGTTGAATTTCCTTGCCTAACCTATTGTAGTCATTTATGTTTAAATTTACTTTAACTTCTTCCAAAGCTATTTTTAAGAGTTTATTTTCTTCTTCCATGGCTTTGCAATTTGTTTCCAATTGATTCTTATCCTTGCGCAAGTCTTTCACTAAACCCTCAAGACATAAAACTTTGCTAATCAAATGGTCATTACTTTCTTTCAATTTACTAATTATTTCTACATGAGAGTTCACTATAGTATCTAAATTTACCAACTTGTTATGTAGACTACTAATATCAATGCTTTCTTCATTGAATCCTTCAATTGAATTTCTTCAATGAATTGAATTGAATTAAATTGAATTGTCGTGACCCTTCCGTGCCTATGAGTTGGTGCGGTCTGGTGTCTCCTTCGTCCAGACGCTGTTTTGTTTTAGGGTGTATATACGTATTTGAGAACATAGAACATACAAACAGGGGTGCCTTCAGAGGGGGCTATTGGCTCATACATGGCAGCTCTTGTTTCTAACCACCCAATTCAGTTGTCAGATCACAGGTGACTGCAGGAGGCCTCTTGGCCCGTATGAGGCAGCTCCTAACTATACTCATCCTGCCCCTCTCCTATGCATGTCCAACCATGCTTGAGTTTCGGGGCCCCACCTCCACCTTGTTCCAAGGTGCAAGGTGGAGGTTCCTGTTCAGTGGTACATGTTCCTGTGTCAAGGGTGTTATGTACTCACCTATTTGTGCTTTCCTAATTGTGCTTGCAGGGTTGAGCTCTGGCTCTTTGGTCCTGCCTCTCAACTGTCAATCAACTGACATACAGATTCGTGAGCCTCCTGGGCTCTATCTTCTCTACATTTGAAACTGTGTGTAGGGTCAGTCTCCACCACATCAATGCCTAATGCATTCGATCTGTTAACTACTCTGACACTGCATGAGTTCTTTCTAACGTCTCTGTGGCTTGTTTGGGTACTCGGTTTCTACTTGTGACCCCCTTGTTCGCATGCCACTCGTGTTAAACAGTTTATCTTTATCTACCCTGTCAATTCCTCTGGGAATGATGTGATTTTTGCTGTGGTTTAGATACTGTGGCTGAATGTGGGAGTATGGTCGTGGCATTTTGTTCGGCCCTTCAGTGCTTCTTTCCGGGGCCTTTCTTGTTTGGGTTCTTTGTTGCCATGATTTGGATCCCTCATTCCTTGCCGGTCTTGCTGTACCAGGCTTAGCTTTTCCATGTTCATTGGATTCTCTGTACTACCCTCATTGTCCTCACCTAGTTGTGCTTGCTGGAGATGAGCTTTGGCTCTTCGTCTCGCCTCTCACCTGTCATTCGATTTCTGTTCAGGTTCCGGAGCCTACTGGGCTCTCTTATCTGCACTTGACGCTGGGTGTGGGGTTGGCCTCCGCCACATTCCTTCCTCATGCATTCCTATTGTCTCCTGCTCTGACACTGGTATGCTTCTTCTATCTTTTATACGGCTCATTTGGGCGTTCAGTTCGCCTTGTTGCCCCCTTTACGTGTGCCCCGTGTATTGGTGGTCATGTCCCCTCTGGATCTTCGGTCTCCTTGGGGCGTGTGGTACATGTCCAGCGGCTTTTGGTGTTGGTCCTGTCCCTTCGTTCCCATTTTCTGCCTGCCTTTCTTTGTTCTTCAGCTTCCTTTTCTCCTCCACGTTGTGTGTTTTGTTTGTGCCTTTTGGCTCCTGTTGCCGGGTTTCGAATCTGGTTCCTGGTCACCGGCCTGTTGGCATTTTCAGAGTCTCACGGTGTCCCTTCTCTGGAGTCTGTTGGGGGTCTTGGTCTCCACCCTCCTGGCGGCTCGCTGGCATTGGGACGTTTTTCAGTACGGCAGACGTTCCATCTCCTTCTTTACCGGCTCAGGTTTCCGGCTCTGCCTGCTCGGTGGTCGCCCCCAAGGTCTTCCCGCGGCTCTGCCTCGAGTTTCGCCTTCTGTTGGTGGTCGAGTGGCTGCGTTGCTGGTGTTCTGCCTGCGTGCTTCTTTTTGGCAGCAGTGTGGGGTATTTTGGCAGTCCTTCCTTTTTCCTTCTGTCCCTTCTTCGGTAGCGTGGTCTTGTCCTTCTCTTATGTGGGTTGGGGGCCATCATTTTGCTGCATACTGTCGCCTCATTTCGTTCGGCGCTGGTGAGCCGCTTCTGTTTGCGTTCGGTGTTTACTTTTGCGCCGTTCAGCACGCTGTCTCGTGCATTGGTTCACCTCCGGCCTGCTCATGCGCCATCTGAGCCGTCCTGGTCGTGGGACTGGGTGCTCTCTCTTTTCTTCTCCTCGATTCTTGTGGCCCCTTCAGTTCCGGTTGGTGTCTCGGGGGCTCTTTTCCTGTTGGTGTTGGCCTCGGGGGTCAAGTTGGTGAGCTTCATGCTCTCCTCCGGCGCTGGGGTTTCTGCTCCTTTGGTCAGGGCAATCGTTTTGTTCCTCTGCGGCCTTCTCCTTCTTTTCTGGCGTAGAATGTGACTGCTGCTTTCGGAAGGATCCCTGGGTTGTTTATGCCTTGTTGGTTTGGCCAGGGGTGCTTCAGGTTTTGTGCCCGGTTGCGGCTCTCCGCCGTTTTTGGCGCTCCGTGGCTTCTGTGTCCGTGGACGCGCTTTGGGTTGATCCGGTTTTCCTTGTTCTCTGTTCGCAGGTGCGGGTCTCCCAGGTCATCCGCAGGGTTATTAAAGCTAGGCGGCCTGCGGCCTCTCCCAGTGCCCATGATGTTCGCAAAATCACGGCTCTTGCTGCTGTTTCTTGGGACTGTGTCTTGGGTGGACTTTCGGGCATGGGGATTTTGGCGGTCATTCTGGGTCCTGGCTGCTCGTTGCCTTGTTCACGTCCTTAGGCCTGGTTGGGCCTGTGTCGCTTTGGGTTGGCAGTTGCAGCCGGTTTTCTCGCTTTGTGTTGAGGTGTGAGTGGTGGCCGCCTCCCGGGTACGTCCCTTAGACCTTCCTTTGTGGGTAGTTAGCTCCAGGAAGCCTACGGGGCTCCCCCCAGAAAACCAGCATTGAATGTAATGAAATGCCATTTTCTGGGTAAGACCCGGAGGCTCCCTGGCAACCCTGCCTCCCTCCAGTCGGCGGTTTTCGCGTGTTTTGACATCCAGCCTCGGAACTGATGGGTGGATAGCCAGCATGAGAGGTCTGGTACTCCCCCTTCCCCCTCCCGGGAAGGGGGGAGCTGCGCAGACAGAGGCACGGTGACGTGTGACATAGTACAAGTTTGCTTGTTTTCTGTTGGGGAGTTCTATCCACTAGTTTGGCTTTTGGTAGCAATTTTAACCAGAATAGGGGATTGTTTTGGAATGCTTACCTTTCTGGATGCGTAACCCGATCGATGGCAGACATAGAATGCTTCCAACCACACGGGAGTTTCTATAGGCTATTGCTCCCCTTGCCTCTCTGAGGGGACCAGGTTCTGGCCGTGGTCCCCGGTAGGCCTTAAGAACTCCATACACATGACTGATGCCAAAGTCTGACATTAGTGTATCAGCCTGGTATAGCTCCAGGGAGCCTCTGGGTCTCACCCAGAAAATGGCGTTTCATTACATTCAACGCTGTTTTTTTAATTAAATTTATAAATAACTTTTCATCTTTTTTTTTGTAAAGGTTGAGGGCAATGAGCGGATGACTGCAACAGCAGGATCAGTGGCTCGGCTCATGTGCGAACCTCACATTGTGCTCTTTGTTCTCTGCTGCATCATTGTTGGCATGTCTACTGGCATTCTTTGGACTTTCCAGGTATTGTACTTTATACAGTTTATTACTACCTAATACACTATATGCATGCAGTTTGTTTAGATATTATATTGACATTAATGACTTCATTTTACTTATGTGAAATGATAAAAGCATCTAGGCTCACATCTACATGCCCAAATAATATTTAAACAATGTATTTAAATTATAAAATTAATTAAAATATGACATGGCATTATAAGGAGATACATATGACCTGAATTGTATGTGACATTTTATGTAACATTTCTAAACTGGTCCTCTAAGAATCTTCCTGGAGATTATTACACTGGTACCTCAGGGATACCCCAAGCATCAGGCTCCCAAATCTTTCCCAGCCTACTGAGAGCATGTAACAATAGCTTGTCCCCATGCTTCAGCTCCCAAGTGTTTCCCGGTCCACTGAGAGAAAATAACAATTGCTTATCCCTACACGTGGTAGGGAAACATGTGGGGAATCAAAGCTCTAAACCTATCTGATAGACAAAAATAGAACATTGAGTATAATGAAATACCCCTTTTCTAGGGACCCCATAGTTGGCTCCTCCTAAACATGTGCACAGGTACCCCAGGGCCAATACTATATCATGACACACCAAGGACTGCCTCACAGTCTACTGGGAGCAGCAGGTGCCAGAAACTTGCCCCCTCATGGAGATGAGGGAGCTGAGGCTATTATAAACAACACACACTGTGGGAAAAACCTACCAAAAGGGCTGAAAGAGGATAACAAAAGCTCAAAGCACTCATAAGAAATATTTGGTGCAAACAAATACCAAACTAAACTTAAACTAACCACAAACAAGCAATAAACACACCCTTTTGCTGCCTCCCCTTCCTCTCTCCACCAGATAACAACACTAAGCAACAAAGGGTCTGGCATTTCCCAGCCCTTCAGTCTCAAGCCAGACTAAACACATAAAACCCACAGTTAAGCATGGAAAACAATGTAGGAAAAGAGGAGCTTCTAAGGGGTGCCCAGAAATGTTTATTTCATTGTATGCTGTACTCAAGGCTCTGTTTTTGGGGTGGCTTCCCCTCAGTGACTCCCAAGTGTGTCTTCCTTGTGGCTCCATGAATAAGGAGCTGTGTACCACAATCCTAATCCTGTAAATAAGAACTTGAAAGAAAATATGTTTTGACAAAAGGAAGAAAATCCTTAGGGGACTTACCCATGAATGTTGATTTTTTGAACACCAGACCCAAATGGATTTGGGAAAATACTAAAAACAGAAAATTTAACCCAAATTTACACCAGCAGCAGAGAAGAGGGAAGGCAGGCGATATCCAACCACTAGCATGAAAGGAGCACTAATAGCTGCTAGATCATGGCTATAGACATACTTATTATAGAAAACCACCAGCACAGCAAGCTGAGAGGCAAAAAGATGAAATAGAAAAGAGGTTGACAAGAAGGTTTGCCTTACAACCTCTTAAAGTTTGAGTCAACTGCAGAAGATGTAAATACCAGACATTGGACGAGAAAGCTGCAGAGGCTATAGACCTTCACCTAAAACAAGTAGAAATGTGTGTGGAAAAAGAATAGCAAGGAGTTCAGTGATGAAGGGCCAAGAGGATTCCAACACGTCTGTGTGACACAAGACAAAACCAGACAGCAGCTTGAAATTGAACAGACATTATTAAAATAGTGCCTTGAAACCAATCATTAAGAAAAAAAAATCACCATTAATGAAATAAAATGCCTCTTTTTCTGATATAGCCCCATTGGCTTCCTGAAGCTATCTTGCTGAGATGGATTCCCACTACCAGGTCACATCAGTCACAGGAGTTGTGTGGTCTACCAGGGAGCAGAGCCAGAAACTGGCCCCCCTTCCTCACAGAGGCACCAGGAGTAGGGATTAATATAATCACCCTCACGAACAAAGCCAACAAAGTAATGCAGATAACTGCAAAGTTCATGGAAAATGAAGAATCAAAAAGCCAAATAATTTCACAAACAATTCATTAAAAAAAAATAGGTTCACTCAAAACTAGCTCGAATCCATTTGTACACATGGCCACCACCAGGTAGCCCAAGCTCTCGGTCAACGGCCAGCTGCTGATCAGTCCGGAACTGATGCTCATGGGGATCACGAGCCAGAGCCTGGCCCCCTCAGAGAGGCATGAGGAGCAATGGCCTATAGAAACCCCCATGCGGTTGGAAGCATTCTATGTCTGCCATTGACCGGGTCAGACGCCCAGAAAGGTAAGCATCCCAAAACAAACCCCTATTCTGGTTAAGAAATTGTGACTAAAAGCCAAACTAGTGGACAGAACTCCCCAAACAAAAACGAGCAAACAAGCATGACGTCACCACGTTGCCGCACCACCGTCTGCGCAGCTCCCCCTTCCGCTGACCGGAGGGAGGGAGAGTTGCTGGAAAGCCTCCAGGTCTCACCCAATAAATGGTGTTTCATTACATTTAACACGGGTTTTCTGGGGGGGAGCCCTGTCGGCTCCCCGGAGCTACCTACCCAAAGAGATGGACAAAAAAGGGACGAACCCGGGAGGCAGAAAACACATGCCCGAACCTGAAAGCAAGACAACTGGCAACGCCAAACGACCTCGCAGACAACCTGGGAGACCCGAACCCTGGAATAGGGATGAAGGGAACCCGGGTCAGCGCAAAACGCATCAAGGGCCACAGAGGCCGCGGCACGCAGGCAAAGACCAAGAGCACACCTGGACACACAAAGAAGCACCCCCGGCCAACCAACAAGCACCAACAAACCCCAGGGATCCCTCTGGAAAACAGCCATCCCAACCTCACCAGAAAAGAAGATGTTGTTGATGGTGATGCCTAGCGCGGCTCATGAGCAGGCCGGAGGCGAACAATGCCTGAGACAGCACGTGAAACTGTGCTGCTCGCCCAGGAAAGAACCAATCTGGGTGAGCAGACACCCCACCCGGGAGGAGACCCCCCTCCCCAGGACCCCCTTAGGACCAACATGGCTGATAACGGATGACAACGAGAAGCCGCCGCTTGCCAGAGAGCTGAACCGCCGACTCCGCAAACAGCAAGGACAAAATGGAGACAAAAACTAGGGCCAGGGCCCAGGCAGAGGCCAACAAGGAAGTGAGCACCAAGATCCGACATGCAAAGCGAAAAACAGCGCCACAACAACCCGCAGGAGCAGCGCCACCAGCTCCAGCAGGGCAGAATGACGCACGCGTTGCTGAGTAATAGATGAGAACTACCCAGGATGTGTACCGCACTACATAAAAAATGCACTGTCCGGAAAAGGAACACAAAAAAAAGGCCTTAGCCAGAGCCATAATCCTAGCCCCCCCTTCCCTGTCCAAACAATAAGGAACTGAAGGGGCAGGAGTGGGTGATTGGAAATCTACATCTACCAACAGACATTACAACACAGAAGCTGGTAGTGACATACAAGAAGATGAAAGAACTCAGGTCACTTATAACTGAACACTGGGGCTTCTTGAGGTTATCTTGAGATGATTTCGGGGCTTTTAGTGTCCCCGCGGCCCGGTCCTCGACCAGGCCTCCACCCCCAGGAAGCAGCCCGTGACAGCTGACTAACACCCAGGTACCTATTTACTGCTAGGTAACAGGGGCATAGGGTGAAAGAAACTCTGCCCATTGTTTCTCGCCGGCGCCTGGGATTGAACCCAGGACCACAGGATCACAAGTCCCGCGTGCTGTCCGCTCGGCCGACCGGCTCCCTGTCCAATCTCAGGGAACCAAACATGTACACAGTCCAACCTAGCACCAACACTAGCATAGCCAATAAGCCCATACTAAGATACACAACAATGTGTAGTATAGAGGTAGGAAATACAGAAACATGCAATGAAAAGACCCTAAATGTAGTCCAAGCACCGGTAGCTAGGGACAAGTGAGTATAAGCCATATGTTGAACTAATAAGACCTAGGAAGCAAGTGGTAACGGAATGTACACGATCAAGTATATACACAGACACTCAAATGTACATATAAGGGTGCAGCCAGGCACTGTACAACGGTCAATGAATGTGAGTGTCCAGAGAACATTGACTACGTCAAAGAAGGGGTGTCCAGATAGCATTGACTGAGTCAATGAATGAGTGTTCAGATAGCATCGATATAAGCACAAAATAAGGTCATGTTAAGATGAAAGCAAATGGGCCAAGCAACACACCACAAACAATACCCAACGCTCATCCAAAAATCGACACCGAGTCGAAGGTGTCACCGACCCAGCAGGCAGCATGACGGAGGCAAAAAACAATGAGAGTCACCCTGAGACAAGGGGACAGAGCAACCTTCAAACTCGCAGAAAGTGAGAGGGGTCTCGGGGGTCACATCCATTGGACACATGTGCCCCCGTGGGGATTCCCAGGGTCCTGAGACGGAACTCACGCTCAGGGAAGCCCAGGCAGGGTACTGCTAACCGGCGCCCAAGTCTACCAACAATCTGTTATGACCACACATACACTGGTGTAAATATACGGTGTAAGTCAAACTTTGGCATCAGTTATGTGTATGGAGTTCTTGGGCCTACTGGGGACCACGGCCAGAACCTGGCCCCCTCAGAGAGGCAAGGGGAGCAATGGCCTATAGAAGCCCCCGTGTGGTTGGAAGCATTCTATGTCTGCCATCGACTGGGTTAGGCACCCAGAAAGGTAAGCACCCCAAAACAAACCCCTATTCTGGTGAAAATATTGCTACCAAAAGCCAAACAAGTGGATAGAACTCCCCAAACTAAAACAAGCAAACTAGTGTGATGTCACCCATTGCCGCGCCACCATCTGCGCAGCTTTCCTCTCCCTGGGAGGGGGAAGGGGGAGCCCCAGACCTACTGCGCCGGCGATCCACACCCCAGTGGATTGCCGGCTGATGCTATAAGCAGCGGTTGTGCGCTCTGGGTCCAGACTTTTACGGCGCTATGCCTTGTGTGTGGCGGCTGTTTTCCAGGGGTGCGAGAGCCAGGAGTTACTTTTCAGTACTCGGGCTGCATGCACCTAGGGTTTCCTTCCCTGGGTGCCCTGTAAGTACTGCCCTTGGAGCTTGGGGTTACCTTCCACAGGTTCCTTGGGATCTGCCTCTGTGGGTCTGTTTAACTGCTCGGTTTTTCGGCCGCCCTTTGGGTATTTGGGTGTTTTCTCTCCCTAGTTTACCTTAGGGTAGGAGGCAGTTTTGCGCTGGTAAGGGGCACAGGGTGCTGTGCAGCTTGTTGTCATCAATCACAGCGGCCGGCTCTGTTCCTTGAGGTACGTTGTCCTCTTGCGTTTTTTTTTTTTTTTTTTTTTTTTTTTTTCTCCTTGGTAGGGGGTTCTGCCATACTTGCCACTGGTGTTTGGCCTCATCCTTATACTTGGTGGTGCCCCCTGCTAGGTCCCCGTGAGCATACACGTCCCTGGGGTTCAGCTGTAGATAGTATGTTTGGTAGTTTTGGGCGCCGGTTAACAGTACCCTGCCTAGGTTTACCTGAGCGCGAGTCATCTTGTAGTAAACGCTCAGGACCCTGGGAATCCCCTAGGGAACACGTGGGTTCGATGGATGTGACCCCGGTGTCCCCACTCACTTCATGCGAGTTTGAGGGTTGTTTGGTCCCCTTGTCTCAGGGCGGCCCTCGCGATTTTTGCCTCCGTCATGCTGCCTGTTGGGTCGGTGACACTTTCGACCCTAAGTCCTGTGAGTTTTGCTGCTTGCTGGTGACTCAATTTACCCTTTCTGAGGATGATCATCTTCGGGTACAGGCTGCGCCAGCATTGCATTCTAGGTTTTGTTTGTTGTAAAGTGTTCAGTTGGTTGCTCACTCGGATGCCCCACGGCTGTACCGTTTTGCTTATAGGGACCCAGACATGGGGTCCTGTGAGTTTTGCTGCTTGTTGGTGACTCAATTTACCCTATCTGCGGATGATCTTCTTCGGGTACAGACTGTGCAGGCATTGCATTCTACGTTTTGTTTGTTGTAAAGGGCTCAGTTGGTTGCTCACCCGGATGCCCTGCTGCTGGCCCGTTTTGCTTATAGGGACCCAGACATGGGGGTTGGAGGGGTCGCCTCCCACCACCGGTTGAGTTCGCACCTCCTCGTCCTTTCCCTCCTGATGTTCGTTCTGGTTCCCCTTCCCTGCTTCCGGCCCCGAAACGTCTGAGGGTTTCAAAGTCGGTGCAGGGGTTAGTTGGTCTTGAGACTCGGACAGCCTCGAGGGATGCCCCTTCCGGTGTGGCGACGGAGGCATTCAAGTCTACTTCCCCAGTTGAAGCCTCTGGGTCTGACCAGTGGGCCCCCCTTCTGTCCGGCTTCTACGGCTGTGCCGGCCTTGTCTGGTGGGGTCGGTGCTTGGAGGAAGACTCGGCCCCAGGACCTGCAGAGGAGGACCTTGGGTGTACTCGCCGAGTCGGGCTTGGCTTCGTCAGCTGTTCTGGTTCTTTTGGGGATGTCCCTTCCACCTCTCTTACGACCGCTGAGTTCAGACCCCGGGGGCCTTACGTCAATTGCTGCGTTGCTGACTTCCTCTTCGGGTTTTTCGGAGTTCAGTGCCTTGGTGCCTACCCGATCCCTCGCTCGATGTGTTCACGAACGCATCATCTCTCGGCTCAGGCTCTGTGACCAGTTGCTCACCAGGCGGCCAGGGACGGTGGGGTCAGTCTTTCTGTTGAGCCCACAGGACAATGCGGGAATTCCCGGCGGTGTGGTTTGCTCTTCGGGGGCTTCGGGTCGCCCGCGGGTCGACGATTTGGCTCCATTCGGACAGCTTCCCGGTGGTTCATTGTCTGAACCGGGGGGGGAAGGGGTTCGATGTGGTCCTTGGCTCTTTGGTGCTGGTCGCTTTGGGTGACTTGTCTGCAGAATTCTTGGGGTTTGGCTCTCCTGGCAGTTCACGTGATGGGAGTGTCCAACGCCTTGGTCGACGGCCTGTCTCGTTTCATTCCCCTCTCCACAGAATGGATGGTCGATGCCAACTCCTTCCGTTGGCTTTGCCAGACGTTCGGACACCCCGAGGTGGACCTCTAAGCGTTGGTTTGGTCGCGGCGCCTTCCCCAGTATGTGGGGCCCTTCCCCGATTGCGAGGCCATCGGGGTCGATGCCTTCCGGCAGCGCTGGTCGAGGTGGGGGTTCCTGTACCTCTTTCCCCCGGTTTTGCTATTGCTCTGCGTCCAGACTCGCTTGGAGACTTACCAGGGGAGAGTTGTCCTCTTGGTCCCATGGTGGCCGGCCCAGCCGTGGTTTCAGGCGCTGCTTGCTTGGTGTCCGGGCAACGGGTGACGTCACACTAGTGTGCTCTTTCTTGTTTTGAGAGTTTTATCCATTTGTTCGGCCTTTGGTAACAATATTTCAACCAGAATAGGGGTTTGCTTTGGAATGCTTACCTCTCTGGGTGCTTGACCCGGTTGATAGCAGACAAAGAATACTTCCAACCACACGGGGGTTTCTATAGGCCATTGCTCCCCTTGCCTCTCTGAAGGGGCCAAGTTCTGGCCGTGGTCCCCGGTAGGCCCAAAGAACTCCATACACATGACTGATGCCAAAGTCTGACATTAGCATATCAGCCTGGATAGCTCCGGGGAGCCTCCAGGTCTCACCCAGAAAATGGCGTTTCATTACATTCAATGCTGTTTTTTTATATTTAAATGTAAATAACATTGCTTTGCCTTCACAGCTCATGTTGGTTGAGGACATAGCATTTAAATGGGACTGCCACTTCGGGGCTCTGAAGTTACTGCAAGGGCTGATAATGGGGGTCCAGTGCTTTGGAGGAGAGTTGCCATTCTTCTTCGTATCCGGATGGTTCATCAAGAAGCTGGGACACGTTCATGCCATGTCACTTGTTATTGGAGTCTTCGGCATCCGTTACATGCTTTACTACACCGTCTCAAACCCTTGGATGTTCCTACCGGTGGAACTTCTCAATGGATTTACATTTGGAATTTTTTATGCCACAATGACATCATATGCCAGTCATGTTGCACCCTGCGGAACAGAGGCAACCATGCAGGGTATTGTTGGTGCAGCATTTGAAGGCATTGGTAAGACTTCATTAATCAAGTATCAGGATTATACCAATATTTTAATTGCTTATATTTGCCACAAGTTACATGTGCATTTCTAATATAAAGATTATGCAGGTTATAAACTGTTTTCCATCACTTTTGCAGGTGTTGCAACTGGTGGATTTGTAGGAGGCTTCTTATTCTTTACTGTAGGTGGACCCAAGACCTTTCTTTATACGGGAATATTCAATGTAATCTTCACTGCGGTTCATGTGATTCTTCAGCTCTTGCTTAGCACCTTCAGGCCTCATTCTACTCCAGCAGGTATGTACACAATTACCTGAACGTTTATACCCAGAATCGTGAGAGTATGTTGGTTTCTCTGGTTCCTCTTTACAGGAATAATAGGATGAGTAGTATTAAAAAGAGTGCAGACGTTTGAAATAGTGTAATACGATGGTTAAGGAAAGACACTTGAGATCAGCCTTGAACATAAAAAGAAGTGAATCACTTGTGGTGAATGGGGTAAGGTAGTGACAACAGCTTTGTGGCACACTCAAAATGCTTACAAGAAGAAAATTGTAGCCGGAAAAATAATAAGTAATAGTTGTGAAGCTTAGATTAACCCATATACTGCATACCCATTTAATGTGATAGCCCCATTATTCTTCCCAAATTGTTTACTTCTTAATATTGTTAAAATGCATTCCCTGATCACGGGAAACTAAAAAAAAAATACCAGGTACGTATATATTTTGTGACTTTGGCTGTGATGGAGCAGAGACGTTTCACAATTCACAGGCACTGAGCAATAAGTCGCCCTTTGGCACTTTCCCTGGAAGCTTGGTGGGGCCGAGTTGCCATGTAGACATATTAAAATAATTATTTCAATATGTCTGAATGACTTTTTATATAGTTTTCTGGGGGGGGGGGGGAGCCCCGTCGGCTCCCCGGAGCTATCCAGGCTGATACGTAATATATTAGACTTTAGCATCAGTCAGTGTGAATGGAGTTCATAGGCCTACCGGAGACCCTGAGCCAGAACCCGGCCCCCTCAGAGCGGCACGAGGAGCAATGGCCTATAGAATAGCACATGTGATTTGGAGCATTCTACGTCTGCCATCGATTAGGTCAGGCACCCAGAAAGGTAAGCATCCCAAAACAAACCCCTATTCCGGTTGAAACTTTTACTGAGAGTCAAACGAGTGGATAGAAATCCCCAAAGAAAAACAAGCAACTGAGTATGACATCACCACTTGCCGCACCGCCGTCTGCGCAGCTCCCCCCCTCCCCGGGAGGGGGAAGGGGGAGCCCCAGACCCCTCGTGCCGGCAACCCACACCTTCAGTTCTTTGCCTGATGTAAATGGCATTGGTTGCTGTGGCTCTGTCTCCTGATTTCTGTCCTCTGCTCTGTGCCTTGTGGTGTTGGGCGAATCTTCTCTGGTGGTGCGCGAGCCAGGAGTAATTTCTCAAGTACTCGGGCTGCATGCACCTAGGGTCACCTTCCCTAGGTGCCCTGTAAGTACAGTGGAACCTCTATTAACGAGTTTAATCCGTTCTGGCACAGAGCTCGTTATCTGGAAAACTCGTCTTAAACAAATTTCCCCATTTAAAATAAAGGAAATAAATTTAATCCGTTCCACTCCCAAAAACATCCATACTTTTATGGCATTTTTTTATGTAAATATAATACTGCACATGTAATTATAAATGTTTTGTTGTACTGATTTAATGTTTACTTTACCTTATGAAGAGTCATTGCTGGCTTGAGGGAGACGATGGGGAGGTGGGAAGGAGGAGAGGGGTTATGGTGTGGAAGGAGAATCCACCTCTGAGTCAGGCGGACTCTCTCTTCTTGGGAATTTCAAGGTCAAGGATTTCAAGGACTGGGTTGTGGTTCACTATCACTGGCTCTTCTTTTCTCTACTTTTGCAAAGAACGTATCATTGACAATTGCTTTTGTCTTTGTTTTAGAATGTTCCTAAAACAAGACAGCAAATTGTCACACTTTCGCGCTCTCGGTAAACAAAAAAAAAAAACTTGCCACAAGTGCGCTGGGCATTTATAATAATATACACATGGAAAATACTGGAGGGCCAGGTCCCAAATCTACACAGTAAAATAACAACATACTGGAGTGAACGATATGGAAGAAAATGCAAGATTGATCCAGTGAAGAGCAGAGGTGCCATAGGCACAATCAGAGAACACTATAAACATCAGAGGTCCGCGGTTGTTCAACGTCCTCCCAGCGACTATTAAGAAATATTGCCGGAACAACCGTGGACATCTTCAAGAGAAAACTGGACTGTTTTCTAAGAGAAGTTCCGGATCAGCCGGGCTGTGGTGGGTATGTGGGCCTGCAGGCCGCTCCAAGCAACAGCCTGGTGGACCAAACTCTCACAAGTCGAGCCTGGCCTCAGGCCGGGCTTGGGGAGTAGAAGAACTCCCAGAACCCCATCAAGCAGGTATCAAGCAGGGCGATCGAGAGGCAACACTGAAAAGTGTTGCCTCTCTTTTTCACTGTCCTGACCTTAATTTTCGGTGTTAGTATTTCATTTTTGTACCAATGTGTTCGCAATAGTATGTTCTAGAAGAACATATGTATAAAATGTCACACAGGGATGTGTTAGACCGGCACCAAATAAAAAACTACGTCGATTACACTCGTCGTATCAACAATACAACAGTCTTACCACGAAGATACAATACAATGCCATTCTCCCAAATAGGCTATGTGGCTATTAGAGAAAACGAAAATTTCATGGCAAACATGTTTATACTATCCCTAAGTCGATCGGATAAGAATTGGATTTTATAGAAATATTTGTTCAAATGACGCTTGAGCGCGGCGTTTGGGTGCATTCAAGAGAAAAATATGTCACACTTAAGTGACATATACCTGCGAAAGTGTTAAATTAATTAAACATGTTCACACACCGGGTTGTCACTGCTATATCAGAGCAGCTTTTCCAAGAATGCGTTCACCTTTTCAAACATTTCCAACACTTCCCTGATCTCAGTGGAAGAGGCAGCATCCTCCCTTACTAATGGTGTAAATTGTTGATGAGGACCTGCCATACTCCCTTGTGAGATCAGTCACACAGACACCACACTCATGCTTTGCTATAATTTTCTTCTTCAAATCCACAGTAATTGTGTCTTTCTTCCTCTTGACAACACTATCTTTAGCAAGTAGCTTCTTTGGCAACATCGTGCGTTACAAATTGTAGTCACAAAACCATTAAAAACCCAAAGAAAAGCGCAAATAAATCCAGAGGGATGCTTGTCGTGTGGGATACAACAACAACACTGGCGTCGGAGGCGTCCGAGAATTTGCGAGAACCCACGAGACGCTAGGAAGCACCATGTGGTTTTTGCTCGCCAATAGAGACAAATTTGCTGTGAGTGGCTCGCTCGTTACTGGAAATACTCGTAAATAGAGCCACTCGTTAATCGAGGTTCCACTGTACCTGTACTGCCCTTGGAGTTTGGGGTTATCTTCCACAAGTCATCTTGGGGTTTTCCTCTGTTGGTCTTTTGCTGCTCGGTAATTGACCGCCCTGTGTGTCAGGGTGGTCAATTTGTGGACTATTTAGTAGAATTTGGTACTATTTACTTTGTACAGTAGTTTTAAAAATAAAGCTAGAAAACAAACTTAAATATTACTAGGCCTAGTATAGCATTGTATATGTATTATTTTAAGCCTCAGGTAGTATGTATTAGGCCTAGGAAAGTTAAGTTTTCTTTACAACATCAGTACAAATACTATACTTCTTTAGTTTGTCCAAATTCAATAGTATCAATTTCTACTTTCTAATTGCCTTTTACGTTAATACAGTATATGTACGATGGTCCTCATCATTACTGTTAGTACTGCCTAAACAGAAGGATGCACTGGATTTGCCCGCTATTAGTTTATCTTCTTCATCACGTTATCCCTTGATTATTCCCAATTTATAATTCCTGTAATTTTTACTTGTATGATACAGTATAGATTTAATCACTGTGATTGCTCTGCTGACGTTTTCTGAAGGAGCTGTTTGAGTAACTGTGCTGTGGCTAGTGCAGGCAATGAAGTGAAGGGGAGCCTGGGAATAAAATATCCAAGTACTGTATAGAAATGTTAGGAGTTACATTTTGATTATACAGTATGTATTATCATCACATGTTTAAGATGGGATGCCAAAGTCACATTACTTCCCCCCCCCCCTCCTCTCCTTCTAATTATTATACAGTAATGTGTTCTTTAATCATTAACTCCCCCCCCCCCCCACATTCCACTTGCATGTCCTCCCTCATTTATTCTGACTTACCCTGTGCCTCTGCAGAGTCAAGCAGGGATAAAAGGAAGGTGGATCTTCAGGCTCCCTCTGTTTACACTTGTGTAATTACCTAAGTATAGTTACAGGTTGAGAGGTTGTGGTGGTGGAGGATTGGTGTTGTGAGTAGATATCCAATTAATAAATTTATCACAGTAATGTTGGGCAGTCTCTTTGAATCCAAATACTTCTTGTAGGAGGAATTTTGAGTGTAGATAAATGAGTTTTTAAATATTTTTGGGGTGGACTGATAAATTTTCCATGTCTCCTTATCTGCCCCGTGCCTCATGGCTTGACGAGGGCAGCTTAAAAAAATCCTCACTGGATTTAAGTTCTGTTTTACGAAGAACTGGACATTGCCTAAAAGACCTTCCAAGTGGCTTTGCTCAGAAATGGGCTTTTAATTTTCACTCAAAGCCATATTATTCTTTTTAAATAGTATGTCTTAGTTGCTATGTATGCAACAATATTTGGGGCTGTTATATACTTGCTGATATCACTGTGCTCATACTACCTTCACAGTAAAATATATTCAACCTAATGACTACAATGTAAGTTTTACCTGGGGAGAATAGTTGAATAAATACTGTATTCATGGGAGAATCAGTTTACTTACAGGAGTTACACATAAAACTCTGGACATTGAGTTTAGGACATAGCACTCTACCTTGAGATTACCTCAAGATGGTTTTGGGGCTTAGCATCCCCGTGGTCCAGTCCTCGACCAGGGCTGCCTATACCATATTGATCAAGTAACATAATATTACAAAAGACTTAACTGACAATGGATGTTGACACCAGGACCCCCCTTACTTGCTACTGGAGCTCCTTCAGGCACCACCACACAGCCCTCTTCCTCACTCTGAGAGTTACCAGTATTGTCTAACACAACTCTAACACACTACATATGAAAGTAATCACTCTCAAACAGTTTTACAATCAAAGTATATACAGTGACACCTCGACTTAAGACTGCCCCTACTTATGAATTTTTTTAATTA